GCAATGCTACAATTGTAACGTTTACAGCGGAGCTCCGGCGGCCCGACACCATAAGTTTAGGAACAGAACCGCATGTAGGCATAGAAACATAAAACCATGCAACCTTTTTTTCACGGTCAACGTGGCTAGCGGCATGGATAGCGGGCGTGAGCGCCCTACGACGACGAACGACGACGTCAAACAACATGGCAGCCATACTCCAGCGAATGAAAAATCATGCAGGCTTGGTTTACAGCGTACATATTTTATATTGGACACGCATGTTAACGTCAATTGACACCTGTAAAAATAAGGCATCCGCTGAACAGTATCTTATGAACATATCGTGGGCTCAAGCTTACAAATCACGTGATTTTTTAAGCAGACCGTTGACTAAGTACTGTGTCGATTGGATCGTGTGCTCAAGCGAGGTTAACTTGTGGTAATCAGGGCTAGGCTGTTCGGAAGCCGGTTAATGTTAACCTAGGATTAAAAGTTAACCGAACTGTAGATTTTTCATTTGTAAAATTTTTTTCACTGCTTATGTTTTGCGTAGTTTGAGCTTTTTCAAAATCAAAAGAGAAGGCGAAACAATCATAAACAGAAAACCTCACCACAAAGTTACAAAACTGAAATAAAAATTCTTGCTTATCCTGGCTCATCGGGCTGTGAAAAACCTGGCCCAGGAGCTCCTCTTTTAGGCTCAGATAAATCTATATATTACATTTAATCATTTTATTCAAAATACAACTTATTGTAACGGGTGAGCTTAACCGAAAACGTAAAAAAAAAAAAAGAAACAATTTATCCGTCATCATCTCTTCCTTTTACACGAAATTAGCAGCCTGTCCAAACAGCGAGGAGCCCAAATCCAAGGTAATCAGGCAGCGCTGCATTGTGTACTGTTACTTTAAGTTGTGTATGCGATATTTGACGAAGGGAAGTATAATGGTTATAATAACCGACAAAGAAATCATCGCGTTGCTGAACATTATTAGCTTTTTCAACTCCTACACAGGTCATGGGTAACACATAATTATTGTAATTATTAACTGATAAGAAAATAGCCCCCCTCCCCCC